TTTTATTGTAGAAGCTGGACCAGTGACACTTCAACATTTTAGGTAATGAAGGGAGTATGACTCACACTTCACACCCTTCTCTACATAGGTGGTGTTTCCATGAAATATTACTGGGAGTTCTTCAGCAAAGTGTACTGTAAATCAGATCTTGCCTCTGCGGAGATGTGGGCATGCTGGATACTAAGTATGCCCACGTGGATGGGGCTGTAATTCCACTTGGGAAGCAGAAATTTCCAGGTCTCTTTCCACTCTAGCTCATAGGATAGCTTTCTCAAGAAAAGCACATCCATAGCACACACACATGCACACACGCGCACAAACACATATACTGTGTAGACAAACTCTGACACTCACTGTTTTAGGGTGTGATTCGCTCTCTGGAGCTGTTCTTTATATATTTGCATGGTACTGGATCCAAACATTGTTTGCTGGGGTGGGATCGATCAATGATGTTCCTTAATCCTAAAAGTGATTTCTTTTTGAATTTCAGGCAATGAAATCCATTTTATTATATGTGTGTGTGTGTGTGTGTGTGTGTGTGTGTGTATGATATTAGACAGATTATTTAAGTTTCTGTTTGTTTTCTCCTATGTGAAGTGGATAAGATAGTATTAAATGTTAAATGAAGTAACCTATTTACTATTACATCATTTGAAATGTTAACTGAAATTATTTTGTGATCCCCATCCTCTCTCCTCTCCACTTTATAAAACAATTTTGCCAAAAGGATCAAGGTAAGTGGTGACAGACTACATTTATTGTCACTATGGTTTTCTTTTTCGATAGAGTAATATTTTACTTGGGTATAATTTATATATAATGTGCAGATCTTAGAAGTTCAATTCTATTATTTTTGACAATTTTATACAAGCATGTAACCACCTGAATCTACATCTAAAATATTTCCATCCTGAGACATTGTGCTTCCCTCTCGTCAGCTTTCTCTGTGCTCTCGGCCCTGAGTACATTTTTCTTATTTAGATTATCCCATAGTCCTGGCTGCTCTTGAACTTCTCTGCTTAGAATTATACTATATGTGCTATTTTGTGTCTGGTTTCTTTGGCTCAGCATAATGTTTTCTAATTCATTCATGTTGTTGCAATTATCAGTAATTCATTCCTTTTAATCACTGACTGGTACTCTCTCATATGAATATCCCACTTGTTCATACACTCTCCTACTGCCATTCATTTGGGTTAATTTTAGTTCAAGGCCATTAGGAATATGGCTGTTAATGAAGAGTCCTTATTAGGGGTTGTGTGTATGTATATGTATGCACAGGCATGCACGCACATGCATGTGATGAAGTCACACATATGCTTTTGTATCTATCTTGGGGAAATACCAAAGAGTGGATTAACTAGGGCATAGGGTTTGGGTGGGTGCATGTTCACCTTTGTAAGAAAGTGCTAATCGGTCTTCGAAAATGGTCTTACCATTTTACACTCCTAGCAGCAAAGTAATAGAACTCCAGTTGCTCCATGTGCTTGTCAACATTTGATATTGCCTATCTTTTTTTATTTTAGTCACTCTACTTGGGTGTGAAGAGCTATTTTACTGTGGATATAATTTCATTCCCTGATGATTTATTCCCTATTCATGTGTTTTTTGGCTATATTTTATGTTTTCATTTATGGAGTAACAAATATCCAATATTTGTTCATTTTGGTTCATATTGAGCTGTCTTATTTTGTTGTTGCTTTGTAGTTATTTATTTATTCTGTATGCATGGTCTTTTTAAAAACAAATATTTAGTGAATATTTGGTCCAGTTTGTGGCTTACTTGTTTTCTTTTCAAATACTGTCTTCTGCTGAGAAGAAATTTTAATTTTAATAAAACTCTATTTCTCTAGTTTGTGCCCTTTTGGTTTTCTATTTAAGAAATTTTTCTTATCAAGTGTCATGAATACATTCTTTGGAATTTTTCTCCTATTAGGTTTAGTATTGTAGCATTTATATTTTTAAGATGTTTCAATCTATGATTCCTCTTACATTTTTGTGTTTGGTATGAAGTAGGGTTCAATGTTTATTTTTTATAAATGGAATTTTGGTTGTTGCAACACTTTTTTGTTATTAAGGCTTATCTTTTCCCACTTAATTGATTTTTCTCAATTTTGTTCTAAAATCAATTAGCTGAATATTTACAGGTGATCTGTGTACTTTCTGTAATTGATCTTACATCAATGCTATACTGTCTTTATTATTAGAGATTTATATTATTTTGAAATCAGATTGTATAAGTCCCCCAATTTTGTTTTTTTTCACAAGATAATTTTTGTTATTGTAGATAACATGCATTTCCGTATAAATTTTATAATTGGCTTGTCAATTTCTTCAACAACAGCAAAAGTCTAGTGGAGTTTTAATTGCCTGTAGGTTGTATCTATAAAAATTTTATGAGAATTGACTTCTTAACAATGTTCAATCTTCCAATCCATAAACATGACATATCTCTCTATTTGTTTAGCTCTTCAATTCCTATTACCATAGTTTGGTAGTTTTCAGTTTAGAAGACTTACACATCTTTTGTTATTATTCCTAGGTTTTTAAATGTTTTTGATAATTCTATAGATAGTAGCCAATATATAATTTTCAGTTTTTTGGTGATAATACATAAAGACGTAATTAAGTTTTGTAAATTGACTTTGTATCCTATTAATCTTGTTAAAGTTAATTACTCATTCTAGTATTTTTTTATTTCATATGTTATATATACAAAATAAGTCATATTTGAAGAATATTTTAATTTTTCTTTATCATATTTGTACCTTTCATTTCCTTTTTTGGTTTAATGCATAACAGTTAAGCACTTCCATATTTAATAGAAGGGGTGAGAATCAATAACTTTTCTTATTCTCCACCTTAAAAGTATCTACTAATTTGGTAACATTACACATGAATACATTCTCTCTGTTTTTCTATTTCTCTTTCATTTCTCTCCACTTGGCTCTATGATTTCTTTCCTTCTGCTAGCTTTGAGTTTAGTTTGTTCTTCTTTTTTCTGGTTACTTGTGATATAATGTTAGGTTGTTGATTTTAGATCTCTTTTATTTTTTAATGTAGGTGTTTCCCCCTGTACATTTTCTTCTGAGCGCTGTCTTTGCTATATCCTATATGTTTTATTATATATATTTCCTTTTTTATTACCTTTAAGTATTTTCTGATTATCTTTGTGATTTTTCTTTTGTTTCATTGGTTGTTTAAGAATGTACTCTTTCATTTCCACATATTTTTACTTTTCAAGTTTTCCTGTAGGTATTGATTTCTAGCTTTATTCCATTGTGTTTGGAGGATATATTTTGTATGATGTCAATATGTTAAATTTATTCAGACTTGCTTTTGTTTAATAACCACTTTAATAAGAACTTACTTCAGTATTACACCAAAAAAATCTGTTCTTATACAGCTCCATTCCAACTCTTTATGTTGTTGACACAGGTTGCATGCATATAAATTATGAATAACATAGATTGATAACTATTTGTCTGAATTTGTTCTTAAAATTATTTAGAAAATAAAAAGTGTAATTACATGCCAAAAATACATACTGTTTTTTTTTTTAATTTATGTACTTTTGCTAGAAATGTTTATTTTTTTAAATATGGCTTTACATTACTGTCCAATGTCCTTTTTATTTATTTATTTATTTTGTTTTGAGTGCTTTATTGGTTAATGTAGGAACCAGTTAACCTCACAGTAGCCCTATGAGTCAGGTTCCATCATCTTCCTCTTTGTATATAGATGATAAGAGTAAGGAAGTTAAGACATACCCTAGACTCACATATAAGGGCTAACAACAGGTGGTGGCTCATATTCAGAGAGTTCAGCTCCAAAGCTACTTGATTACACTCCTTGGGATGTAGGCATTATGTCCTCCAGCTCATTTTCCATCCTGGTGACTTCAGATTGACTCTGGAGGGAAAGGAACTAGGTGGGCCTTGTGCGGGCCATTTACGGTGAGCGACGCTTGCTGTTTATAAACCTTTGTGTTGTCACTCCATCCCTGGACTTCCACATACAGATTCCTTCATGGAAATCCCTTTGGGAACATAGAAAGGGTTCAGGTTCTCCAAGTACAACATACTTTGCAATTCTCATTAATTCTTTACTCACTCTGTTAGGGATGATGTTTATTTATCATATTAGCAGCTACCACGAATACTTCTCACAAATAGAATTCACAAGATTCCACACTCCTCAGCAAATAAGAGCCAACCTCTGAGACATAGAGACTCATTTCCTGCATTCCTGGATTTCCTTCCTAAATAACTTTTTTCCTAATTCGGCTTATCTCCATCATTATGGGCAATAGGCATTAAAGGGCATTACTTAAGAAAGTGTTCTCCCCATAACCTTTTTTATTTTTTACATGACACACTCAGCTACAAGTTCTGCAGGAAGCACCAGGACCTCTGGGATCAGATCATCACTTTCTGTATTTCTGTTAATAAACATCATTTCAAATGGGACCAAATAAAAATAATTACCTGCTGCCAAAATAAAAGAAAAAATCAATAAGTAGAAAAATCAACAGAAAAATCTGCTGTAACGAAGACACACAAAGGTTCAACAGAGAGAAATGTTTGCCACACTTACAAGAAATAAAGGGCTAATGAACAAATTAAGGAATTAAGAAAGGGCTTGAGGCTTGTTCACCATCACCATGGAAACTCAGAGGCTAGGCTAAGGGTGCCCAAGGCAGCTGACCTCTGCTGGACTTTTGCGACCCCTGCTGCTCTCTGGGTGGGGGAACACTGGGTTCAGGGACCTGTCCCATTTCCAGATGGTAGTGTGACAGGTCACCCTCTCTGAGCCCCAATAAATTCACCAACAAACTGGGGACAACTGACAGGACAAAATCGATGAGATGGAGGAGGACTCTGGGCAGCAGGGAGGATTGACTCAACCTGGGTAGAGTCAAGCGGGCCCCATGATGTCACAGATGCCCCATTATGATGCACATGGAGCCTCAGCCAGATTGGCCAGGCGGCACGGGGCAGAATAAAGCCCCACCCTGGGCGGGCCCTGGACTGAGTCTGGGCAGTGTGAGGTTGCGCCACTTCTGCTCCTTGACACCCAGTCTGGGATCCACTCCGATGGACCCCTTCTCCCTGCTGGCAGGTAAGGACTCAAATCTGTCCCCTACTGCCCACACCTGCCTCTGCATCCCTGAGGCAGCTAAGGAAGAGACAGAAAGACACCACATTGAGCTCCACTGAGCTAAGGAGGGAAATACCCAAATTCAAAAACTCACAGAGAGAGCAGTGCCAAAGACCCAGGGAAAGTTATGTACTAATTGGACAGAAGTTCCCTTCACCAAGCAAATATGTGAAGCCCCAGAAAGTCTGAGCCAGTATGTCCATTTTATAGATAGGGAACCTGTGGCCCAAAGAATAAAGGATTCTCCAAGATCAAGGATCTTGGAGGCTCAGGATTTGGGAATAGAAACAAAAACATGGATGTAAGTTGGATGCCTGTCACCTATTATAAATCCAGTCCAAGTCCAGTGGCATATACTTTTTCTTATTCTAAAACTGAGGTATTTGGTGTGCTCGTCTAAAGGAAATGCCAGAAGTTGCAGACCTTCCTGCCTGAGGCCTTGGCCTGCCAGACTCAAATTCTAGTATACTAATTTTGGGTGCAGGATTCCCCTCCCTACCCCCATCTGTGCCCCGTGCCTGGAGTGCCCCCGATTCAGTAACCACCTCTAGTGTCTTAAAGTAAGACCTGACATTGTCATAGTTATTTATGGCCCTTTCCTATTCTCCAGAAACCTCCCCTCTCTCATTAGTGTACAATGGGGAACACATATGTATCAATAAAATGTCAGGAACATTTTTGTTTTGTTCAGGGTAGTGGTCTCAGCATGCATACCCGTGACCATACCAGTGTCTAGTAGGTGATGAATACTTGTTGACTGATTGAATGAGTCAAATACTCACTCTGTACATGATACTGTTTCTGGATTTTTGAGGTGTTTCAATCAATGTCTTTCTGTATGCAGTATGGCATGATGAAAGTTGTGGGGGTCAAAGAAATTTAAAAGCCACTGTTCTTGTCCTAATGGGGTTGCCATTTATTATGGTATAAGACCAACCACAAGCCTGTAAGAGTGGAGACAACATGACAAGGAAAATTAGATAGTGTCAGAGGTGAACTTTGGCTACCTGCCCGAGCCAAGACTGAGTCTGCTTACAATATACCGAACAAAAACCTTTGAAAATTATTAACACCCAGCTTCAATAGAAGGTAGTTTTGTTTTCTTTAACAGGATGTGGCAGCCATTGGAGCGGTGGTCCGCTGGCCCCAGTCAAAGCCAGCACAAACTGGTCGCAGCCAATATGAAGTCCAAAGTTGACAGTTTGTGGACCTTTTCCCTCATTTTAATGCTAAAAATCACACCGAGGGGCTCCTCCGTAGTCCGGCCACGTCCATCTCTTGATAATTCCTCCCACTGGACAGCCCTCACACCCAGTCCTGCACCTGAGCCCCCACTGGGTGTCTAGAATCCTGTGGCCCCAGCCCTGAGGTCTGACTCAGTAAGCTCAGACTGTTATGGGGATACCAGCATGATGGAGCCAAAGGAATGTCACCCAGCCTGTGACCGAGAGAGGAAATTAATGCCAGGGAGCTGTAGATAGGATTTGGTTAAGAAACAAATGGGACCTATTTATACAAAGTCATTGTGAGAGAACTCATAGGAAGGAGGGAGTTGAATCTTGGCTACTGAAGCAGGATAAAATAGAAGTAAACTGGTCTCCATGGACTACAGTGATAGGATAGGATCTGGACAGTGGTCCTGTGGGAACAAGACAGGAGCAGTGGCTGGAAGGCAGGAATGCTTTAAGTATGACAGACAGCAGGTGACCTGGTTCAGCAGGATGCTGGTTTTATGTCATGTCTCTGTGCTTTATTGAAATATTATTCATATACCATACAATTCATCAGTGCAAAGTGCACATCCAGTAGTTTTAATGTATCCACAGACTGGGGAAGCATCACTACAACCAATCATAGAACATTTTCATCCCCTCAGATAAGAACCCTGTAGCCTTTAGCTGTCACCCCTGAATTCTCCCACTTCCTATAGCCCCAGGCACCACTGATCTACTTTCTCTCTTTATAGATTTGCCTCTTCTGGGCTTTCATATAAATGGGATCATACATGTGTATCCTTTGTGACTGCCTAGTGTTTGCTAGAGATTTTGTTGAATGCCAGGAGATGAAAAAAAAAAAAAAAAAGACAGCAACAAAAATAGCAAAACATCTTGCCCAGTCTTGGTGGATTTTCTCTGTGCTGGGCATTCCTTTAACACTTTGCCAGACCATTTACAACTCTGCCTTAGCCTTCACTTCCTGCTTGCACTGTGCCCAGTGATTGGCCATGTATGGACTTTTGAATGCTCTTGGTATGCATGTGGCTTCCTAACTTTTCCAACATACTTATATGTTTTTGAATGCTGTAATTTTCCTAATACTTATTTTCCTCTGATTGTCCTCCCAGACTTTAAGCCATCTATTGTATGTCTCAACCAGTAAGTTTTGCATACTAGACTCTATAGGTTCTTCATTTACCATACTGTGTTTTTGCTTTTGCTTTCTTTCTTTTTTCTTTTCTTTCTCTTCTTTCTCTTTCTCTTTCTCTTTCTCTTTCTCTTTCTCTTTCTCTTTCTCTTTCTCTTTCTCTTTCTCTTTCTCTTTCTCTTTCTTTCTTTTCTTTCCTCTTTTTCTTTTTTGTTTTTTAAGACAGGGTCTCATTCTGCTGCCAAGCTAGAATGCAGTGACATCATCATAGTTCACTGCAACCTCAAACTCCTAAGTTCACGCAATCTTCCTGCTTCAGCCTCCCAAGTAGCTAGAATACAGGTGCACACCACCACAACAAGCTAATTTTTCTGTGTTTTTATAGAGACAGGTTTTGCTATGTTGCTCAGGTTGATCTCAAACTCCTGGACCCAAGCCTCAGCCTCTAAAAATGCTAAGATTACAGGTGTGAGCCACTACACATGGCTTCACTTTACCATGTTGTTAAGCAGTGCCTTTTGCTTTTCTCCCCAGAATGAGTTCTGATTTAGGTAAAACAGAGAAAAGCCGTTTGCATCAGTCCTTTAGGTAGCCCTCAGATAAGTTAGAGACAGAAACGATAATTATGGATATGGTCTGCTCTGTTTTCCCTGGAACCAGGGACCAAATTTTTACACTGAGGATGTGGTCTGCCAGCTTTAAGACTGCCAGATAGTATTATGTAGGTAGAACCATGAGAAAGATTTCCTACTGTTTTTAAGTTGTTTTTTTTTTATTATAATTATTTACCATTCACTTGGTTGCTATAAACCTTTGTTTTCCAGAGTTCTGATAGAATTAGTTCTTATTATTTCGTGTTATTTCCCACTGTTTCTGTGTGTTTATAGCTGCCTTTCCTTTCACTTTGCTGACATCACTTGCTTCCTGCATTTGAAACTCTTCTATTAAGTGTATTTACATTTATGATTCTTATGTATTTTAAGTATTCGGCACTTTACCATTACTTTTTGTTTTGACATGTATTCTGTATGATTTAATATATTTATTCCAGCCTCCTCATGCTTACTATGTGCATGAGGTATCTTTTTTTATTCTCTCCTGCAGAATATTTATTCTTATTTTTACAGGCAGTGCCATTAAAGGGTAATTACACTAAACTTTTTGGCTTATTTTTGGTTTGTTGATTCAGATCTGTGGAATCCTGAGTTTCCCAATCCCTGTAACTTGGGGAGACACAACCTTCAAATTCTGTCTTTCTTGGGGACCCTGTTAAGGCTTGATTTTATTCTTTAAGGTGGGTATAGGATAGGGCTTCCTCTAAGGTGTGATCTTTACTCTTAAAGAGTGTTCTTTATCTTATTTTAGTGGGCTGCTAGTGCTGTAAAAAAATTGTAAATGAGATTTTCACTCTGGCATGGCCAGGATTCCAATATCCCTCAGCACTGCTTTCCCCCCAGAAGTATGTAAATTCAGTATCTCTGTTCAACTCTCCACCTCATAGCAGCTGTCTGGTAACCCCTGGTCAGGTTCTTCCTGAACACAGACAGCCCATCTCTCACACACAGATGCATAGAGAAACCCTGTAGTCAATTTTGTGCACATTATCTTTGCAGTTCCACCTCCCCGATATTCCATCCTGCAGATTCTGACCCATTTCAGTAGCCTAAATTGTGATTTCTGTTTTTTAATTTCAAGGCTATATTCCTGTTTCTAATACACTTGAATCATTTTTTGCCCAAATCAGGAAATTTTATCATGCAGAAAGCTATGTGATCAAGAAGCTTATTTCATGAATTTCCCTTCCTTTGGGTTTGGAATTTTATGATTCCTGTATTCTACTGCCTAGAAAACAGTTGGCTACTATATGTTATTCAGTTCTGTAGTTGTTAATGGCAAAAGTCTAGTCCAGTTAAAGCCACCCCATCATGAGCAAAAGTGGAAAGGCCATCATAATTATTTTATTGTTTCTGTCTTTTGGTTTCATCTGGGCCATCTTTTGAGAGTTTTCTCGCATGACCATGGCTGCATTTCCTTGCTTCATTATATGGCTTCAAGTTTTTGATTGAATGCTAGCCATTTTGTGAAATAGAACAATAAAGCAGTTAACAGTGTCTAATTCCAAAAGTTAGCATACCATTTTGTCTGTCAGGACAATATTGGGTGAAGGGGTCTGAATGAGTCTAATCTTTTGATGATCTGAGTCAGGGCATTATTGAAGTTTTCATTGATTTTGTTCACTTTTAGTTTCAAATTTCTTAGGGCCATATTGTGATTTTTTTTTTTCCTTTAGAAAAGCTTGGGATCTAAACAAGAGAGATATTCCAGAGATCCCTTTAGGCTTTAAAAATGACCTGCCAGTTTTCTGAATGCTGAGAGATCTCTCTCCTTCATAGACTAGCTGAAACCCTTTTGGTGGCAAAGGAATTCTCTGTGCTATCCAATGCCCACCATGTCCTCTGCTTTGTGTGCTGCCAGAGATCTCTCTCCTCCTCACTGCCCCAGTCCAAGTTTCAGAAGACGGATGCAGGACAATTGTGAAAAAGAGATTTCTCTCAGCTTTCCTCTTGGCCTTTAGCCCATTACCTATTTTGCATTTC